TCTGGAGTCATTCAAAGCTTTTAGGGTCAATGCAGATGGCATTTCACTTCAATACAGTCTCCAAACATCATCAGCTTTTGGGATCTGTTTAAAAATAGCTTCCCCCCTCCTGCTCCCTTCCAACATACTTTGGCTTTTTTACCAGAATGCCCACCTTGGAAGTCAGTGCTGCCCTTTTTTTCTCTCTGGCTGTGAATATTTTCACATCAGACAGAAGATAAGGCCTTCAGACATATGCCAAGAGCTAGGCTGTGATACAGTTCATCAAGCCAGGCACAGAACCACTAGCACTGACAATCTAATACCTCCATACTCCCCACCCAATAAGAAAACAAGCATATCAACACATAGACAAACTTCAACACTGCTTTCCAAATGCCATTATAGAAAGATAAAAAAAGTCAAGAATCAAGCTAAACTGTCCAACCACCAAGATAAGCAAAGAGATAGCATCAACCTGGGTAGCAGAGTGGCAGTTTCAGCTCCAAATATCCTGGCTTCACTCATTTCCATCTATGTAAAAAAGATTAGTGTTAAAACAAAGAAGTGCCCACTTCACAGCACAAAGCAGATATCACCCCAGCTAATTACAAAACAGGTAATATTAAAAAGCACTAGGTCTTGTATTGTCTTACCAATTACTTCCTCACTAGGCTAGACAGTCCTCATCTAGAAGTGTGTGGAGTCAATGTTAATTCAGGCCAAGTCTGGCCCAGACCATGCCAGTCTTCCTGAGCCATACTGGATGCTCCCTAGAAACCTGTTAAACGCTCATTTACAAATGCAGGCACAGATGTTTGAGAGTTGCTACTGAAACGTCCTACCCACCGCTTTGTGTTACAGAATTAATAGAGTGTACTGAGGTAAAGAGTTGGCAGTGCTATATTAAAACCCCTGACTACACCATGTGATTTTGTACTAGAAAATGATATAGAAAAGAGGCTCCCACTAAACTTTGAGGAATCAATATAGTTCTCATCATGAGAGATCAGTGTTTGGCTTACATGACAAGCTGCAATGGATGCAGGTGTTATTCCATATCGTGTTCGTGTCTCAAGCTGGCATGCATCATGGTGTCTTTCAACCCAGGAAGTGCGCCTGAAAATCTGAGGACACAAAGCTAAGTCAAGTGTCAAAGCTTGAAAATCAGAGGGGGCCTTTCACAGAAATCCTGTAGTGCCATGCAGCAGAATGGTTTTTCTTTTCCAGGAGAACTAGAGAGGTACATCCATAGAAAAGACTCCAAAACATGGAGTTACTATCCACAAAGACAGCCATCGAAGGCAGCAAAGGACTTGTTTTCTAAAATGGAATTCTGTGGAAGGTAGTTGCCTGTCAGTAAAGAAAGCTGCTAGTTTCTTCAGTGGTTCAATGTCTGTTCTTTCATTTGTTAATCCTACAATTCTTTGCAGATTACAGTAACCAGGACTGGTTTTCATACCAAAACCTAATCTAGCTATCCTAGTGACATTACTTTTTTGTCTGCAATGCCAGATACAGATGAGCTCTTCCTACTCCATTTCACTACAGGCTTTTTGCCATCAGTTTCTCCACTCTGCTTGGCTGAGGTTCAGTCTTCATTTGGCTCAGAAAGCCTGTGAACTGTCATTTTCACGAGCTTCTTTATGCTCATAACACACTTAGTTCTAGGTTTTATACAGCGTTACTTCAAAATACTAAATATATTTTTAAGTTAGTAAGTCAAATTATCTATTAAATAAAATAACACCAATTCTTTCTATCAAACTGGAAGCATCTTCAGGTTTTGGAGTGGCCAGTAACTTTTATTCCATAATCAATATTAATTCATTTTCAACATTAAGAGCTATTTAATTCCTTCAAAGTGACAACTGCCTATTAAATATGTCACTTGCAGAGAAATATTCTTCCTTTTTAATTCCAATTCACCATGTCACCTCGTAATGCTGTCTAAGAATTGTTCAGAGAATGACAGCACTGCAATCTGAAGGAATGACTGACATGCTACATTAGCTTAAAGTCTGTTTTGAGGACAACAGATACAAAGTAGTGTTTGATAAATTACTCCCATTTAGTTTCTGCTACTTAAAACTGCAAGACTACGTAAGTCTCTCCTATAAGCACACACTGCAAGCACTTCCTCTCTTTGTCCCTGCGACAGATAACCTGCGTGCAATACCCTGTCACTGGACATGGACCGGCGGGTGAGAGGAGGGACAGCAAAAGGCTGCTCTTTAAAGTAGGCAGTAGCAGTTCAAGGTCTCCATCTGATTATTCTCCTGCCTGTGACCCATTTCCTGACTAGCCAGATGAACAATAAGTCTATAAAGTTGAGAAGAAAAGATGTTCTCTCCAGCTGTGTTGACCTGCACAGTTCTCCAGGATGTCACTTAAAATAAAGTTTGCTATTTGATTCTTGTGAAAAGACTAAGCAACCAATCAAGCTTGCCTTGAGATGTTTGTATGACCTAACCTACCTAAGTTCTGCTGTAGTGATTAACTGGTTTATCATAACATGATTTTCTGGCTTTATTTTACTACAGCTTACCTTGAAAAAAACAAACACAAAACTCTTCTGTAGTGGCAAGAAGCGGAGTGTATTTTGCAGAGAAAGATGCCATCAAAAAACCAAGTCCTTTTTGCTCATCTGCCAGATCCTTTGCAAACTTGAGAAGTGCCTGACTTTCGCAAGGAGTTTCCTAATCTTGGGTTCCTGGTGTGAACCATCCCTATCAAAGTCCAACAGAACACAGAGCCAAACTGCTGACTTTCATCTGCAGTCTACCACACCACGCTTAGGCCCATTTTAGCAATAGAAAGAAGAAAGGCAACAGTGGGCTTGAGGTGAACAAACTGGTTCCCTAAAACTCTGATTTAGTGTGCAAAACTGCTGTGTCATATGAAAAAACAAGCTTGAGAGCTCAATATGAGATATCTCATGCTGTTTCTTTTCCAGGTACAGATTTTAAGTTAAAATATAAGTTGCATTACTAGCTCTGTTCAGAGTTTTAATTCCATAAGGTGACTAAGGATACATAATAATGCATGAGCATCAAGAGAAAAACAGAACAGGAAGTTCTATGCTATGCCTCCCAGGTAAAACTACAGTAGATTCAGACATAAAACTGAGGTAATTCTTGAGAATAAATACAGATGAAAGGGAATGTTTAACTCACTCGAGAAAACAAGCATAGTATTAACTCATCAACTCATGTAGAAAATGTAGTGAAAGAATAAAGCTCACAGCAAGCTAGGAAATTAAGTCAAGTCAACCTAGAAGTCAGGTCAGCCCACAACTGCCTCCTCTTGCCCAGTGAAGTGGAAGCTACTACCAAGAACTCCAAGAATATCTGAAAGCTTTGAAAACAGTCTTAGTCTTCGGCTTAGAGAAACAAACCTTACATGAGGTTTGAATCTAAGTAAACTGGTTTGCTTCACTCTGTGTTGAAACATTCACCTTTTCAATTGTAGTAATCTTAAGAGTTTCCCCATCTGAATATTAGAGTCACATTAAAATATTTCCCCTCCAAGGTTAAAAATGAGTAAATATTTAAAAGACAGAGTTGGTCCTGGCAAAAATAAGACTCGATACAAGGAAGTTAATCCCTGTTTAAGATTGCTCAAAATTTAAGTCAAAACTTTTTCAGTTGCTTCTTACCTCAATATTGTGCATGTTGCACAGCACTGAAATAGCCACATCTTTTCCACTCTGAAGCCTGCACAAAGCCAAAAGACTGCTACATTAGGAAACTACACAAAAATACTGATATGAACATCTGCAAGCTTCAGAGAGGAAGAAAGATTCCAGATTTTATCCAAATTAACATGAAAGGATAACAGAACAGGACTTTTTTTGACCACATTTCCCATGGGATTAGCAGCTGAAGTAAAACGTTGCTTGTTTTGACATGCCACTGCAGGCTCAAAGGGGATAAGAACTCCAGGGAATCTGCTGCCTTTTTATAGGTACAAACAGCCCTTCAGGTTTTCTTCTTGGATAAAAACTGTGCCAAAAACTGCACAGCAAACTACTTGAAAGTTACCTAAAGGATAGCACTACAGTGTTGATATGAAAGGCAGATCTTCAGTTTGTCCATGTTCCCCACTGTAGTAGGAAAGATCAGATATGTCTGTACACAAAAAAGGCACCTGACAGTTAGTTTCACTGATTGAGTGTGCTAGGAAAAAAACAGTTCATATCAATATTATCCATCGCCTCTTGCAATTTGACACACAAACCATTGCCCAAAATGGGCAACACCAAACTCCACTGTACTCAGAATTCCATGTGCATTACTATAGGCTAAAGATCCCATTAAGACACAGATTAAAGGCTAATTTTACAGCAAGGTCTTGCTGTCCAAACACATCAGTGCAGCTGTAAAACTGGGATCTCTAGGGTATTCAGTCTTCCTATAAGGTCAGCTCTTGGGAACTAATCAAGCAGCTGCTGTACTACCAAAACCTTTGCTTAAGAGTTTAATCAGCAAGCCCTGCTACACAAGATACCAAACCTTCACAGACACTGCCAACTGCGGGTGCGAGAACAGTGCTCAATTTCCATCACGTACATCTCACTTGAGCACCCACTGGGCAGATACATGGTCAGGTGCTCTAGCACAGGCTGCTTCACCAAGGAAATCAGTTTTCCCATGATACAATACCCTTCACACATAGTGCAAAATAAAGCCTTCTCCATATCCTTAACTTCCCTCCCAGTTTACTCCAATACTGGTTTCCTTACATGGTTTCATACTTTTGCCTTAGGAGACTCATGCAAAACCTTCAGACAAAAGCTGTGCATCCACCTTGATAAGCGGATTCCAGACCTCTTGGCAAAGCTAAGGGTTAAGAACAGAACTTCCATTAACGTTCTCCATTACAGCTGCCATTCTCTTAACATTAGTTTGATCGATTGAGCACCTCCAAACTATAAAAAGAAAAAAAAAAAAAGGCAGTTTGTATGACTAGTGTCTCTGAAAAATGAGCATACTCATTTAAAACGTGTCTTCCATACATGGTTTGTCAGAGATTTCTTTTTTCTAAGAAGGCAGAAGGTGGTTGTGTTATTCAGCATTCCAAACTAGGTACAGAACCTACAACGGCCATGTTTCAGTAGTGTTTCTAGTCCAAATGATTCAGTAGCTAACATCAACATTTGACTCCTTCGGCCTATAGCTCCTCTGTTTGGACTGGCTAGTTTACAGCATTCCTGAGCCAAGTAATTAGCATGGGTCCTACACCACATGCAAGGGCCATAAAGAAAGGATAAAAACTTTGATTTAACCCTCTGGCAAACTTTAACAGAACACTGCCTGTTTTTCTTCACTGCAACATAATATCCTTCAGATTCTCTTGAAGGATCGTGTCCTTCACGGCATGAAACACAAAGCGGATGTTTTCAGTGTCTATGGCAGTGGTGAAGTGATGGAAGAGCGGCTTACTACGATTTCTCCTCTTCCTGTCAAAGCACTGCACCAGATAACGTTGAACATCTTCTAGCCTGTGAGGGTCGCCTTTGAAGTCCGAGAAATACTTCTTAATGCTGACAGTCTTTACCTTCTCTACAAGAAGATCCATCTTGTTGAGGAATAGGATAATAGAAACATTAAAGAAAAGCTTGTTATTGACTATTGTCTCAAAGATATTCATGGACTCCACAAGTCTATTTGTGCGCCTGTCTTCCATCAGAACCTGATCGTATTCACTAGAGGAGACCATAAACAAAATTGAAGTTATTCCATCAAAGCACTGGAACCATTTCTGACGCTGAGATCTCTGTCCACCCACGTCCACCATCTTGAAAGGTATTTTTTTAATGATGAAGTCATGCTCTACTATCCCTTTGGTGGCTTTTCTAGCCAGCAAAATATCTTGTTTGCTGGGGAAATAGTTCTGTAAGAGAAAAGGAGAAGAGCATCAAAAAACAGTCCTTCAAAAATGCTGGCTATTGCCAGAATATTGAAACAATAGGAACAATCAACAGGAGTCATGTTTTGTTTATTAGTAAGTGAAGAAGGAATACTAAACTTTAAGTAATGAGCTGTTGACCATTTATCTCAACACATTTGTAGACAGCTACAGAAGATCCTGAGACATACAAGAATAAAAATATAGGACCAATGCACTCATTCACACTTCTCTGTTTCAAGCCTCCCATTTTCAGGCTGACACCTACTTTTTCACCATGAAATTCTTAGCTACAACATAATTTAGGAAGTGTTCAGTAAAACAGATCAAGTCATCCCTGAAAGGCTGTTTTTTACAGTTCATTACTCTTACAAAGGAGATCTTGCAAGCTTTAGTGGAAGTACTTCTCCCAGGTTCACACTTATGACCAGCAAGTACAGCAACATGTTCTACCATAGGCTGTGGCCCACCCCACCACTGTACAGATTTGTTCTTCAGAAGCTCATCACTGTTACTATTTAGGCACTGTTACTATTTAGGAAAGCCATGTCCCTTCTTTCTCCTCCAAGTCTCCTGGCAGATGTTTCCATTACAGATTTGAAATCCTACAAGTGCTGGCAATTATTTTTATCTCGTAAAGTTTCATTCTGATACCTCAAGTAGCAGCATCCATCAGATCGTCAGGAAAAGTGAATGAGATCCAGAGGCTGTATAGAAGGACTGATAAAATACATGCACAAATACAACTTCCATAAACAGTATTGGTCATTTGCCAAAAAAGATGAAGCAAATACTAAGCTTCAGTTTCATAAGGCTGGAATTTACTATTCCTAAAGAAAGAACACTGATGTTATTTAATGCATTATTAGAAGAAATTCCAAACATCAAATCCCACTAATCATAGCACACCCAGGCTTCAAATATCTCTTTGAGCTCTTTTGGTTCAGAAAGAGAAGATACATCTTACCAGCTGACCGATCCGATCCAGGTTATCCAGGAAGTATTTCACCGATTCACCCTGTGGAAAAGGAATGAGACAGGAACTAAGCTTTTTTTTATAGGATAGCCAATCCAACTAAACTATAGCCTTTCACTTTCCAATATGCATGGGGGTCTAACAGAGCAATAGCACAAGTGGAAGCTTGAACAACAGCCTGATATGCTTAGGAGCTGGAACACTAGAAGGAGTACATAGTTTAAGTCACGTAAACTGCTGGTAACGAAGTGGAGCTGCCAGAATATACCACCACCATGGAGGTAAGGTAATATTTCTTCCACAAGCAATTCCCTACAGGTTCTAGAAGAATCAGAGTTGAATAGAGATTTCACTAAATGCTCAAATCTAGCTAGTGAATCTTTACAATGCAAAGAAGTGGTGCTGAAGTCAGTCTTTTGGCACAAAGAATTACTTTTCTCCTTGTATGATGAATGCAGTTAGTTGCCACTGGGTGGGAGCAAAAACGAAACATGTTTGTAAGAAACCAATGCATTTTGTTTAAAATTCATAGCCATGAACAAAAGCATATCCTAGACTGGTTGGCATTTCTTTAGAAAAGGGAAAGATTTAAGTCACCTGCAATTTGTGAACATTTAAGCTAGACTTGCTTGTCAAGAAAAGAAAAGAAAAAGCGAACATTCTGAAGGATTTATTCTTTTACAGATAGTTTCCCTTTTAGGTTCATTCTAACGATGATTTGCTCATCTTGTACAAAATCCTTTAGCAGTTATTTTGAGAAGAATACAGACAGTGTTTACAAAGAAATTTCGCTCTTATGTGAAAATGCATGAGGGTCTTTGTGTTTTGCGCAGTATGGGGTTTTTCTCTCAACAAGCCTGCCCATGTATCGCACTCAAATCAAGTGCCACTTCGTATAAGTGGATATAGGAAGACCTTCATGTACTTTGTAGAAGTAAAAAGATTGTTTCCACATAGATGCAGACTTTACTTCTGGAGTGAAATTCTCTTTGTCAGAAGCCCATTCTCATTGAAACATTTCCCTTTCATTTCTTCAAATGAAGATGATCTGTTCAGTAAGAAAGTATTCTTCATTGTTTAAGACACTCGTCTGTCCTGGGTTCAGCAGTAGTGGTCATTTTTCTTCTTAGTAGCCAGTGCAGTGCTGTGTTTTGACTTTCGGCATGATGTTTTGGTTTGATCAAGGACTTTGTGAGCCTCATGCTCTGCCAGGGAGGAGGGGAAGCCAGGAGGAAGCAGAGACAGGACACCTGACCCAAACTGACCAAAGAGGTATTCCATACCACAGCACGTCATGCCCAGGAGGTAACTGAGAGTTACCCAGAGGGGCTGGGACAGCAGGGTTGGAGGAGGTATTGGTCGGTGCTTGGTTGGGTTGGGAGGGGCAAGTTATCAGTCAGCTGGTGGTGAGGTGCTGTATTCTCTTCCCTTGTTATTTCCTTTATCATTGTTATTATTGGTGGTAGCAGCAGTGATCTGTGTTATACCTTAGTTACTTAACTGTTCTTATCTCAACCTGTGGGAGTTGCAATTCTTTTCGATTCTCCTCTCTGTCCCTCCGGGAGCAGGGGGAGGGAAAGAAGGGGGGGAGCGAGTGAATGAGTTGCCTGACTGGGTTTAAACCACCACAGCGTCTCACAGTTGTAGCCATGTTGTAAGAATGATATAATGGAAAAATCCTGCTGCCTTTTAATCACTTTAGGCAGCAAATCACATTATATCACAGACCAGGGCTGTGTTGGTAACTACCCAACCGACAGTAGGTGCCCTCACCAAGTCACCAGTTGAGAATGAGAACGTTCTCAAAATACCATCTCAGATTCCAACAGCAATCTAAATTCTTAAATCATCCATTCTCCTCTACACCATTAGCAAAACAGATTTATTCCCTTCCAGTACAACCGCAAAGAAATGCCAGCACAACAGCTCACCCTGAAGAATCACACTGGAGATCAGAGGATATCGGGTACTGTGCAAGTACATACTTTGCACCTAAAGCATAGACAAAAAAAGGCCGGCAGCTTATTATTTCCTAACATTTTAAACTAGAAGTGCTTTTTCACAAAGGAGAGAATGCACACATATTTGCAAAAATCTACCCTGTATTACAAAAGATTTACCATGGATCACTAGCAGAAAAAAATACTTTTTTTTTTGGGGGGGGGGGGAAGTTTCCAAAGAGCGATTGCTCTAAGAGCTTCCTTACAATCATGAATTTTCATAAGGTGAAAGTAATTTCCTGTATTTTTTGGCACTCTGTTGGATCAGTAGAGGTATCGCAGACCGTATGAATAAGAAAAGTTCTTCCTGTACAGCATTAGTCATATTAGGAGATGGAAGAGACCAAAAAGAAAAGGTCACTGAAGATTCAAACCCCCCCCCCCCCTTTCTCTATCTATTGTGCTTCGTCCTACACAATGCCTTTAGATGTGCAACAAGGCTGCAAACTGTCTGTCTCTGATACAACTTATTCCTACTTTCTACCCAGTTGCTTTAAGAGTCCTTGCCTTGTCCATATCCCCTCCCACGCTGAGCAGGAAACAGCTGTATGCATGTAAACTGCTGGGACACACAAGCAAGTTCACCTGATTTACAGCTTCTGCCTCCCCCATTTCCTGCCCCACACATCAATCAGTTTAACATTTTGCACATTTATAAGAAGGTAAGAAAATAATCTAATGAAAGAAAAATACGTGTTCATTTCTGCAGTGATTTAGGGAAGCTGGACTTCCCTAGGCTCTTATAGAGCCTTTCATAACATTGTAATTAAGCCAAATAACTCATTCTGGCTAATTTTGAGCAGTAATTACAACACACCTGGGTAATGCAAGTCAGGTTGCTGGAACAGGTGTGAACACCATATGCACGCTCTGACAGATCTGAAGAGGTCCGAATAGTCTCTTCCAGCACAGAAGTCAAAAGACATCCAGTACTTAAGTCAAAATACCTGCTTCCAGTCAAAACAACAAATCCCTGATAAACTCCAGAGAGTCTAAAGTTAAGAAAGGCTCAAAACATTAAAGCACACAAACCTGAAGGGAGAAAGCCCCCCACCCTAAACAACCCCAAATGGACACCACATACTGAAACTCCCTACTTTAAAGATGATTCCCTGATCAAGTCCTGTGTTATGGCTTATGGAATTGTGGGTTCAGCTCCTGCTCCAAGATTTCTCACACAACCTTGCTCTACAGCTTAGTCTGATTCACTGAAAACTTGGTTACTGCTGGGAAATCCATGGGGTATTTCAGTTCATGGAACAGGCCAGCACAGGATAACTGCAGATGGCACCAACTGACCTGATGAATAATTTGTAATGTATTTAAATGAGGAAAACATGGAAACTCCAAGGGTTAGGGCTGCTTTGTATTTGGATTTTTAATTGGAACAATTGTATTAGCTGAACATTCTGTTATCTTTTTTCCTTTGTCACAATGGAAAAACAGCTCACAATATTAGTTAGCTCTAGAAGTCAAATTTAGTTAACTTTATAAAGCTGCACTTGAATGCAATTCTGAATTCAGTTGATAAATTATTATTTATACAAAGCTATCATGCTTTAGGTATTATACACGCATAAAACCACACGTGCATGTCTACATATTTAAAAACATAGTGAATTTATGAATTGCTTATCAAGGTAGGGTTTCCATTTGAGGCAAATTAACATCAAAATAAAAGCGGATCAGCTTTTGATAGTTCAAGACACAAACAAGCTGGTTTATTAGCTTTTTCAGTGCAAATCGTTAGTGTTTCTCCAAAGTCATTTAGCCATCCCACTGCACTCAAAAGCTGGCTCTGCACTTCAAATGCTCTCATTTCCCAGATCTCAGAGTTATTTCTGGTTTACTGGCATGACTTCCTATAGAAGTGGTAGCCAATACTTGCAACTGATTCATCAGATACCAAATTGACAGACTGACAACTTCAATCACAGTATTTTAACAGTTCTAGTGGGGAAAAAAAAAAGCTCTTTTGAACATTGCAATCTATTTCAAACTATGCTTGCAAGCAGAAAAATAGAAATGAAAGCCGTCCAAATTATATTTCAATGCCTAAAGATAATCACATCATAGTGTGCTCACTCAAACAAGCAAAAAAAAGGTCCAGGTCAGATACGTCAATCTTTTACAGGCTGCTGCGTCACGGAAAACTGTGGCAGCTCAAGAAGCTTCCTCAGATCAACTGCGTTCACTGAAGACTGTTGAGCTTTTGTCTTTTCAGATTTAAAAAGACCCAAATCTGTTATTTCTCTGTTAGTAAGTAGCCCGTTTCCTTTTAGAAAACACTCTAACAATATTCATAAATAATATTCTTAAAGTCTGAAAGACATCATTTCATTTCAACCAGCACGGTCCTTAGATACAAAGCAACAAAACATGTCAGTGAAGCATGTCTGTACTTACGTTTGTTTTGTTTGTTTGTATTTTTGACTAATAGTTTATTTCACATTTGAAAGCTCTATCAAATCCTGATGTGACCATCATCTATATTGCTGCTAACACAAAACAAGCTAGCTATGTTTTCCATCCTCCTTGATAATAAATCACAATGTCAAAACCCTGTCTGTCATCCATGCCCTGTGTTTTCCGGAACAGTGGTGGGGGAAGGAAGAATGACCTCCGAGTTATGAATTTTACTCAGTTCAGATCCTCCTGTTTAGTACACCAGAGCATAGCATAGACCATTAGTCTTCCTCAACTTCTTGCTCACCACACAAGTGTTACCACAAATGCTTGGATGATTCACTCTCTCACTGCTAATCTCCTCTCCCTCTGCAATACATATCCTCTGAGTAACGGTTTTGCCAACTGGGACCAAGTGAAGGAATAAGGGATGCTGTTCCCATTGTTCAGTAGGATGAGTCACTGCACATCTGGGAACTGGGGGAATCAAGAAACACAAACAGAAGGCCTAAAATGAGCCCACAAGTTCCACAATGCAGCATCACAGTTGGATCTTTATTTAAATTAGCATTATTTTTTTAATCTGCCCTATCTGCAGTATAAAGCTTGGGGAAGCCAGAGAAAACAGAACAATTT